AAGAAGTTTTGCAGAAATTAAAATGGTCTAAATAGTGTTAGATAAATACGTGATTATGGTTGTGTTGACATGACTTTTCAGTCTTCCCCCCCTTCAGAGCAGGTTTAGGAAATGGCTCTGTGTATTATATGTATGTGTGTATATATATTTTAAAGGGTATTTCCTATACTCTTGTTTTCAGTGTCATGGATGGAGAGTAAAGAACATGTTTATACCATTGCAAATACTATGCAGTTCAGAAAGGATATTTGTTTATTCTTAAGAAAAAAGTTAAATTAACCTTGGTTGTGCTTCTAAATCTGTGTGTGAGCCTTTTGCAGTTAACAATAAAAGAGCTTGTGAGATGGTGGAGGGTCTCCAGGGAGGTCTGCAAGTATTGGGAATGGCCACTACTGCTTATATTCTCTTTTACTAATAATAATAGCATAGAAATAATAATGAATGCTGTGACATTGGGTTTTCTAAAGGTTTTTTCCCAGACACCTGAGGACGTAGGCTGTTCTGTGATGGCTTGGCATTTGACTTGCCTCATTAACTTCCTGCTGCTTAGGGGATCAGATTTTGCTGGCTTAGGTTTGGGATCATGTTAGAATATGATACGGGGGACATTAGTGGTGTTGAGTAGCCATCTGCCCACCATTCCTCCCACGGAAGTGACTCTCTATTCCAGCAGAGCCCACTCTTTAAATATTTTTTTTTTATTCCCCCTCCTAGCCCTGGCCTTTGCAGACAACTTTGCTGACATTTGTTTGAGACAGGCAGGCAGGCTGCTCTGCCAACAATCACAAGTTCAACCATAATTTGCTACTAAGCTATGTTAGTAACAAATGTTCATTGCTTGTTGACAGTGTTTTGAATGTTTAATGTTTCAGTTGCCAGACCAGAATCTTGTGTCAGTGGCCTTAAAGCTTCCTTTGTTTGTGAAAGCACCAGTTTTAACAATGCTGTCTGAAGAACAGAGATCTCATGTTCTTGTTCTCTGTAGCTGTCCTATGATAGGCTGTGTCACTACAAGCATGGACTGATTCATTGGAGGGTCAGTAGAGGATAGTCTCATAGCTGGAAGTTCTGGTCACAGTGCTGTTCCACAGAAGTGAGTATGAAGTTGGCAGTGATGAGTGGGATCTACGTGTGGGATGTTCTAGCTGTTGTGTGCCAGATAAGTGCAGATGGCAGAATAGTCCTACTTGGTGGTCTTTCCCCAGGGCCTCTTAGGAGATAGCTGCAGTCTGGATGAAGTGTTGAGGTAGCAACAGTTTGGTTGCTGGCTGCTGCAGGAACTCTGTATTAGAGGAAGGAGAAACTAGTACTGCTGCATGGGTGCAGGCTGCAAATATTTGTTCAGGGTCCATTTAACTCAATCCATTTTGTCTCCTGTTTAATAGGGAATACTGTAAAGCAATAGAGCTGTGCAAAACACTTGTCAAATACATGGCAAGAAACAAAGCAAATGGTAGATTTTTTTTTTTTTTTTCCTATAAAGAAAGGTTAATTCTTCATATGGGATAATTATACTTGACTGTCTACCAGTAATCTTCTCCCATATGTAGGTGAGTAGTTTGAATCATTTGGGTCAAGAAACCTCTTTAGGTAAGGAAGGGTATAAAATATCTTGGGATTTTGAAGTAAGAGTAGCTTTAGTACTTAGGCTTGGTTCTCCAGTTCTGCTTCAAAATACTACAGCTGTTCTGGTTTAGGGACATTCTATTCAGTTCTTGGGTATAATGTTATTGAAAGTGGCTCATGCTAGTTAGAAATAATTTTTAAAGAGGAGTTTAACTGTTCTAATTGTAGAATCAAAGTAATTTATCTAAGGAAGATAATGCAGATGTTTTGATTGTGTTTGCATGCTGTATAACAGTCTTGAATTCCTTGTTCCAGTTGGACTACTTACACTGCTTTAGCATAAGAGGAGGCTTTTCATAGGCTTCCCCCCACTGCTTACCATGTTAAATAAATACTTGATAGTTAACCTTGCATTTGTGGCTGTTAAAGCTATGTTCGGGATTTCCAGTCTTCCTGGACCACTGATGTGGTGACATGCTGTCTTTCATCATGCAAGACGTCTGACCCCTGTGTGTCATGATCTGACCTTTAGAAATGGGGCATGTCTTCCTTCTTTAGCGGAGGATATAAAAGGAATGAGAATTCATCTTATCCCACATCATAGATATGATTTGTAAATCAGGGAACTTTATAACCTGAACCTTAAAACTCTAGAACAGTCTTCACTGGAGAGAGAGTGGGGCATGTAGGAAGTCTCTAGTTATGCTAAACAAAATCTTGTCTGCTGTAATTACATTTAATATTGCTGCTTAACAGAACTGAAGATTACATGTTTGCTGATGTAAATGCTTTGAAGAGTCCTAGTAGGTCAGTGTAGTGTAGGTACTGCTTACATTTGTGCAGTGCCTTTAATTTGCAAACACAGGTACAATATAGCACTTAAATTATACTTACTGTAAAAATTAATTTTCAGCAGAAGCTAGTGTGAAAGTTTGGATATACTACCTGTGCTGAAAGGCATGTGGATGTGTTAGTGAATAACTCTGGCTTTTAAAACAGTCCTGAAATAGTTTGCAACTATCTAACTCTGCATCTTCCTTAATTAATAGGAGGAGAGTAAATTGCACAGGCTAAGATAGACAAAACCACTTTTATACTTACTGTAAAAGCAGGGGACAGTGATTGTCATATAACATTTGATGGAGCATATTTATGTGAAATGCCAGGTGGATGTCTTTGTGTCTATGCTGTCACTTAACATGCAGGTCAACAAGTGTTGCTTAGTGAAACTCATAGACCAAGGTGTGTTTAAAAAAACCAAAACTATCCAAAAATAAACAAAACCCAAACAACTGAAATTAATACTAGCACCAGCTCTGAAACAATATTAACTACATAGAATTCTTACAGATTTTCCTGAAGCTGCATTATCTTAAAATGAGTATTTACTTAAAAAAAATGTACATAATAATACTGTATTTTAATGTGTTGTTTATTTGTGATGTAGATGTGGATTTGATTTACAGCTAGATGAAAGATAATAAATTGCTGATTTCCATTCACCAAGGAATTTAAACATTTTGAGAGAAGAAATGAATTTGCTGATGTTTGAGTTGAATAAACTGTCATGAAACCTCTCTAACTTTAATAAAACTACTTCTGCCTTCTTGTTGAGGTGCTGAACCATGGAGTTGGGAGTCTAATTTTAGATGCTCAGATCTGAAAAATTCCCTTAAGGGAAGAGCATTCTGTAAAACTAATTCACGTATGCCGGTAGGCTTGTATATGCCTTCTAATTTAAGGTATTCTTAAATTCATTATGTTTCTTAGCAAAATACAATTAATGGTTTATTTTTATCTAAGTGTTTCAAACATTGGCTTAAATCTGGGGTTTTTTTTACTGAAATTTAGGATACTATGTTACTGCTTACTGTTCTAATCTCTAACTAAAAATGTGAAAAATGTTAAAACACACCTGTGTCTTCTTGCAGGCACACTGTGAATTTAGGTGTCAACTGAGGTGAATTTGCACTTTTTTTCCCCCATTATACTTAGAAACTCAAAGTGCTAAAAATTTTCTGTAAAAGTTTGAGTATAAAGTGTTCATATTTGGAACATCAGATTTTTGTTGTATGCTGTTTTGATGGGTAACAACTTATTGTTAGCATTCTTGGAATAATCATGGAGCTTAAAGCAAACTACTAGTCATCTTAAATTGGATGTCAGTGATTTTTAATTGCTAAAAATAATCTGAAACAAATTTGTAATTGAAGTGTTGTAACAAGTATAAGCAACAAAGCTAATTCTTACCAGTTTGTTAGCTCTGTGTTACATCCCTGGAACGCTTCCCCCAACTTCCTTTCTGGAAACTTTATTTTCATATACATAACCACAGAATTTTGCATTCTTTGATATCTCATATTTCATTTTTTTAAGATGGTATCACAAAAATCCAGGCCTGATTAACTCATGTGTTAAACTAATCCCATTGTATTGCCCGAGTTTGGCATATGTGGGATGTGATGTTCTTGTTTCCATTGAGCAAAACATGGCTTGATTTTAATTGTAAGTATTTGTGGGCAAAAGCAGTAGTTAGCATGTATTTAAAGAAAGAACTTGAAAAGAAAGAAAGCTTTTTTTTCTTATACTGGCACTGTTGCTCAGCAGGATTTTTCTCTATGCTTGCAGGTTTTGACTGAACTGGGTTTGACAACATCAGGCTCTGGCAGCTCAAGTGACTTTGGTTTCTGTTAGCCCTGCTGCAGCAGTCTGTGGCGTGGATGTGAGAATGGTGCAAGTCTTTGCTTAAGGCAGAGCTGCTGAAGTTTTGAGCTATTGCATCAGTAATGGTATCTCTCACTTGAGAGCACAATAAAAACATTGCCTTTTTGCTTTTGTTGCTGTTACTTGTGTAGTGTGCAGGAGGAGGAGGAGGAAGAAGACTGACCTGTGGATGGAGGGGCAAAAAATAAACTAGAAAAAGATGCTGTGACGAAACAGGAAATAAAGTTAAAGCAAGAGAAAAACAAATCTGACCTGGGGTGTTTTTGAAGAAATCTGGTGATTGGGTAGAAGTCATAATAAGAATACGTTGATGTGAGGGAGAAGTTAAGAGGGAAAGAAAACTACAACAGAGGGTCCTGAGATTGAGATGAATGGCAGAGGTAATGGTGAACCGATCTGGGGAAGCAGATTAGGATTTTAAAAAGTCTAATTGTGTTTTCATAAATTTGCATAGGAAGTCTCAGAGTGAGTTTGCGTGTGCAATTATAAATGTTGGTCTCCCCTAAAGCTTAATTATTTGACTTTGCATGCTGAATGCTACTTTGAGATGGGCTCACACAGCCTTAAGTTGTATGGCAGTACCAAAATAAGTGTGTTTTACAAAGATGGCTCTTGAGTTTAAAACTGTCTGACTTCCGGTTGTAATGTTAGAAGTGATTGTATGATGACAGTTTTCCTGAATACTAAATACTTCTTGCTTCTTCTTTTAGACGGGGCTTGAATCCACCCCACAGAGTGAAGTCAATTTCAATGACTACTTTCACACAACAGGAAATAGAATTTCTGCAGAAACATGGAAATGAAGTAAGTAGTATTTGAAGAATCTCAAGTGGTTTTGGCACTTTAATATTAAACTTTCAAACACTACTTAAGGAAAACTTTGATTATTGTTTTTTTGGTAGCAAAAACCAGACAGAAACCTTTTGAAGCCAACATTATTTGAAGTGATGCTTCTAAAGAGCTCATTTCACTTAGCTGGTCATCATCATGTTATGTGTTACTGCCCAACCCAGACAAGCTAGATTGACATGATCAGTATTTCTGAATTGGGGTTTCTTTTGCATAAGGCAATATGCATCTGTCTTTTTCTGCAAACTGAGACCTTGAGACTGAGTACAGCAAGCTTTCCTGAAAGAGCATACTGTGACAAAAATAAATTTGTTGCTTGTAGCTGTATTTCTTTAGAGTAGGTGTCAAAGTCTTCTAGTAGTTTCAGTAGCCTCTTTCTTTAATGAAAGTATATCAGTGTTGAAGGTTCTTTGAGAGAAAGGAATGGGAGAGTTTTTTTCCTCTAAGGATTGTTAATCTGATAAGCACCTGTACATTTAGAGTGGCTTGGAGCAGCTTTGAAGACAAAAAGTTCTTGTGTACAGCCTTTTTCTTCTTTTCAAGAGATGAAGACTGAAACTGAAGTAAATGTTTTACTGGCTCTATAGGGACACATGGAGCATGTAAACCCTGGATGTAGCTATTTTTGTCTTCAATTTGAGGGTGAAGTTTGTGTTTTAGTATCATACTATAGCACTGAAGATTTTAGAGGCAGCTTTTGCCTCTATTCTGAATTAGAAAAAGTTCCATTTCACTTTGATTGGATCTGTATTCTGTTTTAGTAGAACTATTGTTGTAGGCTACAGAGTGTCTTATCAACATGTTCTTGTGAAGCTTTGTGGGTATAAATCCCATCATTAGCTAAAATGCTGATACGGAACTTTCTTAAACTTGACCCACTCATAACTGTCAGGTTGAAGAATGAAAATAGAAGTAGTAATTTCTTATGTAGAAGTATGTATTATTTGTTTAAGTGACTGTTAGTGGATGGTTCCTCTAGAGAGAGCTGCAACAAGGTCTAAACTGTTCTCAGGCAGGGCTGTGGTCTCTGTGGTGGGGGTGGGCTGGGAAGCCCCCCACATTCCTTACCAGTCCATCATGTATGGCTGTAGCCCAGCCATCTGCTCCTCTCGCCAGCACAAAGACCAAACTGCTGGCTTTCACTGCTGACTCCGAGTCCTCAGGGTAATAGCGGGACAAAACTCGGTAGTAGCCTGACTCACTGTCTCTGGAAAGAAAGAATGAAAGCATCTTTACCAACCCTGCAGTTCTGATGCTGGATGGCTTTGATCCAGAGCACTGCACTGATCCAAATGGGCACGTGCCAGGAGTTTCAGGTGTTGGGAAGTTATGAATTCCATGGCTACTCTTTGGTCCAACTGGGAACAAAAGGACTTTGGAAAACACTGATTTCCCAAATGCAACTGCCTCATTTTCATTGTAATGACAGACATTCTCCAGATCAAAACAATTATTAAACTCAGCCCTGAAGTACTGCTGGCACGATATCACCAAAACAAAGTACTTTAATGTTTTTTTAACCAAGGCTGATTTTGGCTTAGGACAACAGGATTGGAAGTGAGTATTTGGAAACCTTGTCCTGGGAACTAGACCTGGGCAGGTCACACAGCCTCTCTCTGCTTCCATTCTCCAGCCATGGCATGACCCATGCCTGTCTACCAAGACTACTGGATCAACTCCTGCAAACTGCCCTGAGATTCTTGCATGAGAGGTGCCACTGAACTGCAGTGTCTTTTGCAGCCATACAAGCCTTTGCATGTTTGTCATTCACTCCACCCTTAGTGACAAGTGGGTGTGAATCCCGCAGAATCTTCAGACAAATGCATCAGAGAACAAAACATGACTTTCTGAACAGAAATAGCAAGAGAAGAGTTAGACCAAGGTGGAACTGAATACTTACTGCAGAGCGTCAGCACTGGGTTCATAAAAGCCCTGTTTCTGTGGGAGGAACAACAGCATCTATCTGTAAACAGTACTTTATACAGCAACAGTGCCACCATATTTACTGTCCCTCTGAACACCACACTGTGGTATTTTGTCTTTAACCACATT